TCATTAGACTTCCGAATCAGCGGGGGTAAAATTCCGCCCGCGAACAAACTTTTGAGCGCTGAGGTTACTACGTCATAGTGACGTCAGCTTTGACCAGGGGTACAATTCCAGGGGGATAAAATTCCGGCGACCCAAATAAAAAACAAGCTGGCTGTTTGTAAGGTTTTGAATTTTAATGGTAAGAGTTTAGTACAACTATCCACCACTGTGACGTGGTGTTGCGCTGCCCATGCTGCAGCATGGCCTGTTTTTTCTAGTGGGCCTTGGTTTGATACAAAATCTATATTGTAAGATGGGTTGATTGAAACGTATGAACTATATTGTCTTTCAGTCTCAGATTGGGTAATTATTCCGACGTCATGACTAGTCGCAAAAGTGAGATTTGTTTTCCATAATGACCTAAATTTTACGCTGAATCCGAAAATGACGTTTTTATTTTTCTGTAAAGGTAGTAATTACCGTGGGTCGCCGGAATTTTATCCCCCTGGAATTTTACCCCCTGGGCAAAGCTGACGTCACTATGACGTAGTAACCTGAGTGGCCAAAAGTTTGTTCGCGGCCGGAATTTTACCCCCGCGGATTTGGAAGTCTAATGAAATTTGTCAGAGCGTGATTAATTAGATTAGCGATAAAAACCGGAATTTTACCCCCTGTCCATATAACTAGCGTTTAGGCAACTGAAGATGTACGGGCCGGATTTTTACCCCCGGAATTTTACCCCCCGGAATTTTACCCCCGGAATTTTACCCCCCAGAATTTTACCCCCCGGAATTTTACCCCCTGGCTGATTTTAGAAATTGAATGATTGATTTTCTTATTTCTGTTTTTAATTAATTGTAAACATGTCATTATTTAGTAGCCTATCTTTATTTATTTATTTATTAGAGCGTGATTAATTAGATTAGCGATAAAAACCGGAATTTTACCCCCTGTCCATATAACTAGCGTTTAGGCAACTGAAGATGTACGGGCCGGAATTCACCCCCCAGAATTTTACCCCCCGGAATTTTACCCCCTGGCTGATTTTAGAAATTGAATGATTGATTTTCTTATTTCTGTTTTTAATTAATTGTAAACATTTCATTATTTAGTAGCCTATCTTTATTTATTTATTTTGTAACCTCAACTAAGTAAACAGAATTCGCTGTTTTATTTTGATCATATTAACCAACAGTTGGCTTCAAAGATCGAATCCTGACACTCGAATCTCAAAATTTATATTAAAACCCTGTCCGATTAGTTAATGTTACATATAAATTAAGATAGGCTACTTAATAATAAAATGTTTACCATTAAATTAAAACTGAATGACGATAATTAATCATTCTCACTAATTTATATCTGGCCAGGGGGTAAAATTCCGGGGGGTAAAATTCCGGGGGTAAAAATCCGGGCCGTACATTCTAGGTTTTTATAATTTGATGTGTTCTAATTAAACTCACAACCGTGAAAATATATGTTTAATTCCGCGTTTAATCCATCGAGCTGATGTCGCGAAACTCAAAAGTTCGCGGCCGGAATTTTACCCCCTGGTTTGTGACGTCACGTTTGCCCAGGGGGTAAAATTCCAGGGGGTAAAATTCCAGGGGGATAAAAATCCGCTACCCCATTACCGTCAAGGTAGAAACCGCGCTGCTGGCAACGCTACAGCGAACCATTATATCTCCCAGCCAGATAATACCGACAACAATGCCGTTGCAAATTCATGGAAATAATTCCATTCTACTACACAAAGTACTAGAGGGGGAGCGAGCTGGTCTAGTGGTTAGAGCGCGGGACTTCGGATCCAGAGGTCCCGGGTTCACATCCCGCCAAATCACCAATGGATTTTATCTATGTGATAATGCCCCTAGGCCCCCTAGGTCTAGCCTGAAGTAATGTGAAAAACAATTCCGGGTTTGTGACTAGGACAAAAAAACTACACAAAGTACTCTGACATTGAAAAAACTGTACACTTCAATGTTCATATTAACAAGGTTTGGAGTTGTGCATGTAACTGATTGTGACCGATTTGAATTCCTAACTTTGCCTGTTTAAATGGGCAAATCATCTTCATTTAGTTTCATTTCATTTCATTTCAATTACAACAGTTGTTTATAATATCCATCATAAATACCCTACAACACACAGTAAAGCATATTGTTACACGAAGAAGTTTTGGACGTTTATAATGGATTTATTGTAATTTGCTTTGTAAATAGTGTTTGATAATAAACAACATTACTAATCAAAGCTTACCTTAATTCGTCTTTCCTTTGTTTGCAGTGTACCCCAGTTGTCCACCACAGCTTCACATACTTCTTCCGTCTTCCCATAACTTTTTCTTTAATATAATGTCGAAATACTCTTTCAAAGATTATAAAGAGGGGGCCGTGCCTCCACTTCATCGATAAGTTTATCTACCTTCTCATCTCGCAAAACACTTGCACTTGTAAATAAAACCTACCTAATGTCAGATCAAACGAATACTTGCACTAAATGTTTACTGGTAACAGCTATAAGTCGGGACACATTTGTATAAAACACTAAAAAATAAGGCCGGCTTCTAAAAAATGATAAAATATTTTTACAACAAGTGTTCATTATTTCAACCCGTTATTATTAGCGTGAGTGTTTCAATTAGTTACATAAGCTTAGTCTTATAAACTTATCGAAATTGAAAATTATGACTGTTATTACTGCAGTTTTAAATAACGCCTGTATAATAACGGTACTCTTGTCAATTGCTCAATTTTGAGCACGCATAGAAGATGACTGTTTTTTTTTTTATAACTCCTGTATAATACCAGTACTTAAAAATTGCTTGATTTTGAGCAACAGGCACACTGGTATCAATTATATAAGTAAAATATTACCATAGATAAAACATACTCCCTTAACTCAATGCCGCAATCCGTTTTTCATTTGCATCTTTGGTTTTTGAAATATTGAAATTTTAAATAAGACTATTTTAATATTTCATCAAGACAGCTTGATAACCAAAAACGGATTGCAGCATTGAGTCCAGTATAAAAAAGTAGTTCAAAATGATGGGTCACAACACCACCTTCATATTTAAATTAATTGATCACATTTCAAAATGATCCAAGATGGCGGCTGAAAAAACTACATCCGTCATAACCAAGTGAAAATATGTCGGCAATGAATGGTGGTGTATACTTATCTTTATCTAGCACTATTTTGAGATTATGGCCTTAGTTTGTAAATGCACAATGTTAAAATGCGCTAAAAATAAAGTTATAAAAAGTCCTCATAACTTTAGAACGGATCAAGATTTTTTTTAAATAATTGCGGCATTGTAATCAGCGTAAAATTTTGGTTTGAAATAATGGGTCACAACCCTACCTTTACATTTGGAAAAAAAAAACTTTGTATCCAATTTGGCGGATCCAAGATGGCGGCCAAAAATGTATACCAAGTCAAAATGAAGTACTTACTACTCAACAATGATCTGACGTGGTCCGGAGATGATATCTTAAGAAATGCAGAAAAAAGTAGGGAGGGAACTCATTTAAAATTCACCCTGTATATAAAATCCAATGTATGCTTGTCTGTTTGTTTGTCCTTTATGCGTTACCAAACTGGCCATCCGATCATGATGAAAATTTGGGAAGTTGTTATAAACACCCTCGGGAAGGTTTGGGTGAAGTTTGGTGCAGATCTGCCAAAGGCCTCCGCCCCTGTGGCTCTGGAGTTTCCCATCATCCAAGGCCACACTAAAAAAACAGGCCGTAATGCTCGTCAAGCATGACGTCACTATAGAAGACGGCAATGACGTAATTTTTAATCGTGACGTCATGCTTGATGAGCATTACGGCCTGTTTTTTTTAGTGTGGCCTTGCCTGTTCCCATGTTAACCTTATGAGTACTTATATTTAATGGAATTAAAGAATCTTAACAGCTGGTTCAACTAAACAATTTGATTCTGTGATGTTCAATATATATTAACAGTTAGGTTTACCAACAGGGTGAAGCACTATTATTTTTTTTTTATTTATGACAATAGCTATAATTTGCAACCAGAAGGTGGGTGAGCGTAGCGAACGAGCTCCAACCTAAAGGTGAGTAAGCGTAGCAAACAAACTTCAACCAGGACGTGATTAAGCGATGCGAATGAGCTCTGAAAATGAACTAACATTTGACATAAAACCACATTAGGACAGGACAACGTCTGTTGGGCCAGCTAGTACCATATAAAACCACTGTTATCAGATGAATCCATATTGTTCAAAAAATATTATTGTATTTATATTGTTACCTTTATAGGTTGAAGGTGAATAAAATTGTATTTGCGGGTGGTTGATATTTATGACATGGTTTATTAGGATTTAATAAATAGTAATTATAAATGTAATTGCAAATTTAAATGTACAATGTTATTATAAATTGTAAATACAAAATGAGGTTGTAAGAATAGTTAAAAAAAAAGAATATTTTGCTAGCAGAGTACCCGTCCTTCGTACGGGGTTGGCGTATAAGTATAAAATGCTTATTGCAGTTATACTCGTGCTTTGCGTTTGCAATGGGAGAGGACACGGTTTATGAAAATGTTGTTCTTTTAATTTACCCTATACTGTAGTATAGCACATCTACAATAGCCATAATGTTCTTCCACTGCACCTAAACAATAAAAAAAGTAAAGTTCTCATTGTGTATCACAGCTTTTGGTTCATAAATGCAAAAAAAATAATATAGTGCTGCACCCTGTTGGTAAGCCTTGTAACTTTTTAATGCTATAGAATATCATAGAACCAACCAAAAAGTATCATAGAACCAACTTGTGTAGTTGAAACAGCTGACAAAATTCTTTAATTCCTTTTAAATATGAATATTCATAGGGTTAACATGGGGAACTCTAACTGGGACAGGGACCGAAAGGATTTTTGAGATCAAGAATGTGAACCATCATCATACCAGATTTCAACCCAATCCGACCAGTCATTAATGTTGATTGAACTTCAAACAAACAAATAAACAAACACACAAACTTTCACATGCATTTATAAAATTATATAGTATGATTTGGTGCATAAATACTGCAGAATGCAAACCTTTTTGTTTTTGCCTGGCACAGCATTGATTTACTAAGCATTTAGAACACTGTATTGACTATAGGTTATACCTCATAATTATAGTGTTGATTATTATTTCAATAGGTAGTTGAATGATTTGATATATGGATAAGAAATAATCAGAACAAAGAATCTTAGGAAAGACTAGACGAAGAACAAAGTTACAGAGATAACAATAATGTAGTACCCATGACAGTAGAATTAATGCGTAATTTCTATAACTTTTTTCACATGAATTCAAACTTGAGGGGACTGTAATCTCTGTCTTTGTTGACTATGTTAAGTAAACAGTAGCATTATTCACTATCCATGCTGTTTATTTCAAAAACGTTTAAGTGTCCTTAGACTCTCAATAGAAGTCAGTTCTGCAACATCTACTAACACTTGTCGACCCTGTTGTACTACCAATAGTATGAGATCCCCAATGTGTTTGGAGGACCTGTTGTTGTAATTACTTTAGTGCAAGCTCCATTAACTCCTTCATCAGGAAAGGAAAATTGAAAATTGAAAAATCTATCAACTCTCCAAACTTTAGTAACACCACTGATATATAAAACCTGTATAAACCCTGTCCTTCCAACGACATAGAATTCTTCTATATATCTACTACCCAATACATCTTCACAAACTCTTCCAGAAGGCGAAACCGAGCACAAGAGCAACTTATCTTTTTCATCTCCTGCAAAAAATAAATCGTCGCATATTGTTCCCGGAGTGTAGCTTGATGGTAAAGATATATTTTTCGTGAATAGGAATGTATCCCCAATCACCTCAATTGCTGTGTTATAATCATTTGTTTCCAACTTGTACAGCTCGTGACCAGTTTGGTAGTTGAAAATTCTTATGAACTCTTTGGCTTCACGGCCTTCACGGCCACAGTCCGAAAGGGCCAAAAACCCATCAGTTATAACCCAAAAAGTTCGATCTTCCCTACATTTTTTTTCTGAATCTGGTTCATATTCTGATTCATATTCTGATTCATAATCTGATTCATATTCTGATTCTGCCACCTGATCAATATAAGTACACCTTTTCTTAAACGGAAAGAATTTAAGATTATTTGCATTATAAACTTGAAATTCTAAAGTACCAAAAGCAAGCCCTGATCTATCAGGGGTGCTAAATGGGTAAGGTAAAATGACTACCACATCTTCACATTGATTTGCACTAGATTTACATCCTTCAATTATCAAAAAACAATCTGGTAGGAATAGGGATTCTTTTCTGAGTTCTACTCCATTTTCTAAATCCCACACACAAAATGAGTGCATGATACCACCAGGGTACGAGGGATTGGAGGAGGGGTAGCTGAGGTATCCGATGCACTTCCCCCCTGGAGTAATAACTATATTCAATTCTTTTACGGAACAAAATCTTTTCTTAACTGATTCCTCGCTGCACCCCGGTCTGAGAGACAATTCTTTGCCATTTCGTTCAATATACCATTTTAGGGTTACAGAGCGTTCATTTTGATTAACCTTGAAAATTTCTGTAAAATAGCGATCATTACCATTATTATTGTAATAGCCCTTGAGGGTAACAAACCCGTTCTCTAAAACCGTAGGAGTGTACCATCTTGTTTTTCCGAATGATATTGTGTCCTTTAGAACTGGACGATCCGCTCTTACGTCCCACAGTTCCACTGAATTGGGAAGAAACCTCATTATCAAATCATTTGTTACAAATTTCTCTGTAGAATTCTTCTCATTTCCCAAATCATATTCCACAGTTTTGAAGTTCCGGTTTTGCCAGTTTGTCCACAAGTGTTGTTCTCGTAGAAAGGCGGCTTTCCATTGACTCAGAGGAGGTAGTGAAGTGCCAATATGTTGAGGGAGTTGAAATATTGGCTCCACTACACACGGAGTTGTCCTCAGGTACTCCTCTATCTCAGAGTCGCACAGACGCTGCCAAACCTGTCGAAAACAAGTAATTGATTTCTATTTACCTCACAAGAAAACACCTTTGTACATTGTAGCTAATTAAACCAAGACATTGCTTTATGATTGCCTCCTGATTGACTAGGTTTCACATTGTTGCAGGATCTTAAATCTAACCCCATGTTCAAGAAGGCAGTTTGAAAAAAACATTCAACATCTGAAAAAAATTATGAATCTTCTATAGATGGCCCTAGTAGGGTAAGTAAGTAGTATAGTATATATATAATAGTATAGTAGTATCCAAACTGTTTTGTAAAGCTAAAAAAAAGTCTAAATTAAAAATTTGCTTATTAATATTTACAATTTGAGGTGAACTTACCTTTTTTTAGCAAAGTATATTCAATTGACCATACCATTGTTTATTCTCAACCACTAAATAGTAGTTTACGCAACGACTGCGTAAAGATAGTGTTAACAACAAGAGAAAATTTAAGGTACGAGCCTTGGCGAGTGCCTTAAAAACTTCAAAAAGTGTTGTTAACACTATTTACGCCAGTTGCGTACACTACTTTACCTACGTCAGTATTTTAATTACTAAATATCACTACTCATAACTTCTAATAGAGGTTATGTTTTCACTTGTATCTCTTATTGCTACTGACAGTGATGCAAGTACCACTCAACAATTAAATTGGCCTGAACAGCTGATTAGTTGAAGTTAAAATCATTACAATTTTACTTAACTCTCAATCCTTGAACCTCATTGGTCTGTTACCGTGTTGTTATGAGTAAAACTATGCTGTTATGAAAGTAAACAATGCTGTTATGTGAAACTTTTCAATTCTAAGAATTGAACTGAAACGGCTACTTTAAAAAACGGTTGTAGGTAAAGTATTATATTTCTACATAATAACAACAAAGTATCATCTGTGTTATAACTATTTACAGTCAGTTAGGGAATATATTTAACAAAATAAACTGTTGTACCTATTTTGCTCATTTGTGGATATCATGATTGCATTTGGCAAACTTGTTCATTCATTTTCATGCTAAGGAAGCTATCGACATTTTAATTTTAAAAGATTCTTGTCATTCGCCTATTGGGTCTGATGATGATTGGAGTGTCCAATCGAAATCGATCACCACTTACCATCTTTTTTGTATATTTACCGTCTTGTGAGTAACAGTATAAGCGTAAATATATGTTTTAAGTGTTATAAGACGTTTCTTTTATTTACTTTCCGTAATTTTAAAAAACCTTCCCTGTAGCACTAAACAAACCCAAGTATTCAGTGGCGTATCCGGGAGGGGGGGAGGGGGTTATGTGTTTTAAACTCCCATCTATCCTTTAAAAATTATTTTTTTTACAACAATAATTTTATTTCTATAATAAAAATATGTTTAATATGATTATAAATAGCCAGATTATAAATGTGATTAAAACATGAGTTAGCAGGTATAATTTTAAAAACTTTTCCCAGGGGAGGGCCCCTAGATTCCCCCCGTTACCTGGGGAGTATTCCTGGCCCCTTAGTGTAACCCCTTCCTAGTTACGTCTGTAAGTAGTATTCAATACAATTAATGTTACCTATTTAAATATATGAGTGAAAATTTAAAAACGTACGTTTTCAGTAAAAGCACTTTGCAAATTCTTTTCCTCTTTTTTCAAAACTTTTATTATTATTTTTATTTCATTAACATTTGAAGTTTCATAAAATGTCCATGGTAACGCAATATCTTTGGTAGTTTCTTTTTAAAAGAGCATCTTTAGTGGAAAAACACAAAATCCTGTCACGACCATAACGGACGTTTAAATGAATATTAAAAATAGTTAATATCATTTTTATAACCATGTTTTGCTATAAACTTATTTACTTTTATGACCATTATACAATAAAAAGGTCACTGAGCTTTTGGTATATTTGGTCTTTCTAGAATACCCCCGCCGCAGCAAACCTGCCGTCTAAGCGAATTTCCATTTGTCCGAATTGATTTTCAATTGATCTATTTAAATAACATTATTAGGTTTAACGAGTACCTAGGTTTGCTGCTACAAGGAAACTAATAAAGTAGTGTGTTTTTAGTAAAATATTGATAGCTTACTATAAAATAAATAAATTTGCCAACTTTGATCAAAATATATCCATAAACAAGCAAACTACAACATTTTACAATATTCTCCATAAGAATAACATGGGAATTTTAAATTTACCATTTTTTTAGTTTTCTCCGTAACCAATAACCGTACAAAAACACTTTGATATGCTGAATTGTTTGTTTTTTTAAGCTCTTTAAGAAGGTTTAGAGAAAAATTGGGAAATTTTGTGTTTTGAGGGTAAAAAGTGAGAAAAACCCATTTTTACCCCATAAAACCCCCCATAAAACCCTGTTCCCGTGGTCCGATCATGCTGGATCGCGAACTCATTCAAGTTTATCCCGCCTTACACCTTCAAACCAAATGTCATCAAAATCGGATAAAAATTACTCAAGTTATCGTGTTCACGGACACATATATATATATATAAATCTATATATATACCTATATATATATATATACATATATAAAAATTTGAACGAATGGTGTTTTTGGCCTCTGGGGACATTAAAATGAAAAAGTAAATCGGTCCCGGGCCTAAGTCTTACCATGAGACCTACGGTAATAGCTACTTCCCTATAGGGAAATTCGCTAAAAAAAAAACTCAAAAAATTGAAAAAAAGCCAATAAAATCTTTTTAAGTTTGTATAACTCCGAAAAAACTTACCTGAGACCCGAAAAATCGTTATGTTTGTATAGAGGTGTGCTTCTTTTGTGTATAAAACGTTGAAATATGACGATATTTTAATTTTTGAAATTTTTATGATAGAAATCATAAACGTGATGGTCAGGGACAAGCTGTACGGTCGTGAATTGTCTGGAATAATCTAAATCTTTCTAAACAATCCTTCAATTATCCTGTTAGTTATAATAAAAATATGTGTTTCAATTGAACTAAACTGTTCAATTTACAATTATATTAAAGTTATTGTCACGACCAAACACACTACAATCCATAAGGCTGGATTGGTCGTGAAAAAACCCGCGATGGTCGTGAAATTACGTGTTATTTGGCTCTGTTCTGGCGGTAGCCCTGCACCTCATGTTCGAGGATACAAAGTGGACTTCTAGGTTAATCTAGCAATTGAAATATCTTATAAACAAAAATTAACACCATGTCTACTTCATTGAATGACTACGTACGGTCATGGACACACCAAAATTACAAAAAACACAATCTTTCCTTTATTAATCTTGCAATTCCTCCTTTCAACTTGAAACGACTGGCACTACAATCCTGACATACACCCCAAACTAGTCTCTAAAACCAACTGACTCCATCGACGCCAGGCTTGCCACTGTCAGGCTCCAAAGTTGAAATTTTTTCCCAAATGGTCGTGACGCCAAATCGAGGGACAGACTTATTTTGTCATGGTAGTCAGTTTGTAATGACAATAAAATTATAATATGCTCCTTTTTTGTAAGTTTAATAACCATTGATGACATAAAAATATGGCTTTATATATTTCGGCATGAATAAATAGTCTAAAAACAGCGTGAAAGTTGGAAAATGTACCCTAAGGACACGTCATGGTCGTGAATTTCGAGACTTTAAAAATATGAAAAAAATACCTAGAACCTATTTAAAACAAAATAAATGTGTGTAACATGTTGCCCCCGTCCCAAAAAATATTAAAACACATAATAATAAACTACAAATCCAGTATCTACGAAGTAAAAGGCCAGGGACATGAAAACGTACGTTTTTAAATTTTCACTCATATAAATTCAAATTTATTTTAAAAATTGAAATCTTACTACACATTGTAGTCTGCTGTAGAACAAAGAATAATATGACATTAAATTTTGCAAGTTTATTTAAACCTAATTATGATAATTGTTATATAGGTGGTTTCTTATAATATTAATAGAAGATTTTATGGCTGTTAAAGATATTAAATATAACACTTGATTTTCCAAATTGAATTTCTTCCAAAATTTCTCAACTTGTTGAGGAATTGTTCCTCTTGATCCAATGAGTAGTCCATATATACTTCAAATTTAGTTATTTTATATTTTTCCGAATAAACGTGACAATTTTAAAAGGGGATATTTTAGTTCAAATCCAGCCAGGTAATTCACTTACTCAGCAGGTTTGCTGCAGCAGGGGTGTTTTGTGCGTCAAGCAAAACACAAATTTTAAAGAAATTACAACACAAAATTACACAGTTACCTCATTACTGCCAAAAACTTCTCGCCAGTGGAGTGAAACTCTACAGCATGTAGATATATCCTTTGGTGTGAGGTATTTTGCCACTTCAATGGCTAAATCACAATAAATATACTCCATCTAATAAGAAACAAAAATAACTATGTCAATCACAAACTCACTTTCAAAAAATATATGACTTGTAAACTATTCATGCATCATAGGCTATAAAACTCAAGTTCGGTTCGTTGACACTGATGCTCCATCTTATGTCTCTATCCCTCATCAACAAGTTAGATGAAAAAAGAAAGTATACAAAAGCTTGAGAACGACATGCATGTTCAACGACTCTTGTCCCAAGTGTTGATGGAATTTCGGGAATGAATTCCAAATGTTTTTAAGGGTTATGGCTGAAAAATTATCAGAAAATGGAAAAAAAACCATACAGTTTGGTAATTTAGATACAATCAAGAACAATTTGTGCAGTTTTAAGGGCAAAAAGTATGTTTCTGAGATTAACAAGAAAGAAATAGCGGTCAGCGAGGGAATTTGAAGATGGAGCTGGTATTCCAAATGTTTTTTAGTTTAAAATTAATGGTTGAATTCTGATTGTTATACTCTTTTTTGTAAAGTTTTCATTGCGATAAATTATATTTTGTTGATAAACCTCATAATTCATCTAGCAGGACTGCAATTTCATGCTAGAGCTCACTTGATGTTTAACAAGGCTCTAGCCCAGATAAAAAAAAAAAAATACCCCCGCCGCAGCAAACCTGCAGACTAAGCGAATTTCCATTTGACTGATTGGATTTACACTGAAATGTCTACTTAAAAATATAACATTTATTCCCGATTTAAATAGAATTAGTTTAACAAGTACTTAGGTTTGCTGCATCAGGGAGGGTAAAACTGTTTTTTTTTTGTAAAATGTTAATAGTTAGTAAGAAATAAAAACATTTTCCAAATTTGATCAAAATATGTTCATAAACAAGCAAACTACAACAGTTTACTCATTCTCCATAAAAATAACATGGGAATTTTAAATTTACAATTTTTTGGAATTTTCTCCGTAACCATTAGGCGCATAATAACGCTTCAATATACTAAATTATTTGTTTTTTGAAGCTCTACAAAATGGTTTGGAAATAAATTGCTAAATTTTATGTTTTTTGGGTCAAAAATGGGAAAAACCTATTTTTACCCCATAAAACCCCCCGTAAACACCCGTTCCCATGGTCCGATCATGCTGGATCGCGAACTCGTTCGAATAAACGTAGGTTTACACGTTTGTACCAAATTTCATCAAAATCGGATCATTTTTGCTCGAGTTATCGTGCTGACGGACACATATATATATATAAATATAAATATATAAATATATAAATATATATATATATATATATGAATTTGAACGGATGGTGTTTTTGGCCTCTAGGGACCTCAAAACGAAAAAAAAAATCGGTCCCGCGTCCAGGTCTTACCATGAGTACTACGGTAATAGCTTATTCCCTATATGGGAAATTCGCTAAAACATACTCCCTTAGTAGATTTCTCATCTTTATGGAACAGCTGAAGCCAATTTTATTGTTAGTTATGTCCAGTGCACAATAGAGGTAATTTTTTGTTTAAAATTTGTTTCCAGTTATTTCAGTCATTTAAAACCTCGTTTAACAAAATAAAATGATCTAATCATAAACAATAGCTCGTACCCTAATTATATAACCAAACAGTAAACCACAAATCATGAAATTAACCCTAAAATAATAAAAACAAAATTTCGTCAACACTAACGCCCAGTGCCAACGGACACAAAAAACGAGTATCAAAATTTAAAATGGGATGAGATGTCTACTTGAGGTTAGTCTATGGCTCTAGCAATGACGTAATGTTTGCCGTTTGTGATCAGCTGCTTGTTTTAGTCTTTTCACCGAAAACAAAAATATAACCTTAATTACGTCATTGCCGTCTTCTATCGTGACGTCATGCTTGACGAGCATTACGGCCTGTTGGCGAATTTCCCATATAGGGAATAAGCTATTACCGTAGTACTCATGGTAAGACCTGGACGCGGGACCGATTTTTTTTTTCGTTTTGAGGTCCCTAGAGGCCAAAAACACCATCCGTTCAAATTCATATATATATATATATATATATATATATATTTATATATTTATATATCTAATATATAAAATTCTCGTGTCACAGTGTTTGTCTGCAAACTCCTCCGGAACGACTTCACCGATCGTTATGAAATTTGGTGTGTAAATTCTGTAGGTATGCGAATCGGACGTAAACTATTTCCCGTTTCGAAATTCTTAAAAGGGCTCCGCCCCAGTGGCTCTGGAGTTTCCCATGTTAACCTTATGAGAAATGGAATTAATGAATCTTAACAGCTGTTTCAATTAAACAAGTTGGTTCTGTTCTATGATGTTCAATAGCATTAAAGTTACAAGGATTACCAACAGGGTGCAGCACTATTATTTCTTTTACATTTATGACAACAGCTAATTTGCAACCAAAAGGTGAGTGAGCGTAGCGAACGAACTTCAACCTGGAGGCAAGTGAGCGTAGCGAACGAGCTAACCTGAAGGCAAGTGAGCGCAGCGAACGAGCTCCAACTTAAAGGTGTGTGAGCGTAGCGAACGAGCTCCAACCCAAAGGTGAGTGAGCGTAGCGAACGAACTTCAACCAGGACGTGATTGAGCGATGCGAACGAGATCATCTTGAAAATTAAACGTAACGGTACTTTCTTTCCATCGGTCTGTCAGGGGAAACCTATAACTTAGGCGATACGAAGTTCGCCGGGTCAGCTAGTATATATATATATGTGTCCGTCAGCACGATAACTCGAGCAAAAATTATCCGATTTTGATGAAATTTGGTACAAACGTGTAAACCTACGTTTATTCGAACGAGTTCGCGATCCAGCATGATCGGATCATGGGAACGGGGGTTTACGGGGGGTTTTATGGGGTAAAAATAGGTTTTTCCCATTTTTGACGCAAAAATCATAAAATTTAGCAATTTCTTTCCAAACCATTTTGTAGAGCTTAAAAAAACAAATAATTTAGTATATTGAAGCGTTATTATGGGCCTAATGGTTACAGAGAAAATTCCAAAAAATTGTAAATTTAAAATTCCCATGTTATTCTCATGGAGAATAAATAAACTGTTGTAGTTTGCTTGTTTATGAACATATTTTGATCAAATTTGGAAAATGTTTTTATTTCTTACTAACTATTAACATTTTACACAAAAAAACAGTTTTACTCTCCCTGATGCAGCAAACCTAAGTACTTGTTAAACAGGGGTGCCCATCCCCCCCTAGACTCATGACGCACCCCCCCCCCAATTGAGCAACAGCCCCCCCCCCATAAATGATGTACACAACAAATGAGAAACATTATTCCCCCGCCCAGCACTATTTGTAAAAAGAAGTTTTATAATTTTGTTTAGATATTTAAAATTCAAACCCAGTTAATCTATATCAATAAAGTTATAGTTTTGTCTGTACATTGCTCAGAGTTATACATGTTTTGGGTTATTTATGTTTTATACATTGAAGAAGTTGAAACATGCCTTATCTCCATTTATGTCCGTCTGTCACGGCCCAGAAGGCATTTTATGCAGCCTACTCATGGCCTACTCTGAAGAAAACTAGAGTGCCGATTATGATTCTAATGGTTTAATTGTATCCACAGGATTGGCGAGAGAGACCTTATAGCCATTAAAATATGGCCTCACTATTTTGGAAATAAAATAACGGACGATCAAAAATACAATTTTGTGTGATTTTTCTAGTTTATTTTTTCCATGTTTACTACATACGTCATTAATTTATGAAATACTAATAATCTGTTAAGAGAACACGTCATATATGAAATTACGAACAGCTGTTTTGATAAAGATTCCTTTTCCTAGCTGTCACTGATATGTTTACATAAATGTTCTTTAAGAATACTGTGTAGGTAGGCCCTAACCATTTCCGATCACGTTTGTAAGCAAATCCAAAACCAAGTGAGATTAATAACCGTGTGGCTTTGGCTTACATAACGGGTTTGATTTATCACGAGTACTAATATGTAACTGTAAATTAAATTAAATAACTAGCCTCATCCAGGTCGGGAACCGGAGATTCTGTGTGTATCAAGTTGTACTTGAATTTTGATTACAGGGCAAAGACCGTGAATCAGTGTTGTACAGGACTAGAAAACTTATCTTTCTATATAAATAAAATTAGAGTTTTATAAGTCACCTCAATTTAAGGAATTTTTATTGCCACAGAATATCCATAACGAATTGTCAGTGTCTTTCTCGATATAACGATCCCCTCTCCCTTCCTTTAAAAACATCACAGCTCCTTTGATGAAAATGAAATGGAAACAACGTTTGCGCCAACAAAATCGTCTGCTCCGTTACACTTCTGTCTGCTGTGCGCTATGTTACAATACAACAGATTTCAGATTCAGATACAACAGCTGGGGAATGATGACGATATAATGCTTAGTACACTGTGATTGAGTGATAACCATGGTAACTTTAGTTAGGCTGTGATTGGCCAATGAGTAGGCCTAAATATGGCGACTTGTTGAATTTGTGTATGAATTGAAGAGAAACCTATTAATGAACAGAAGAACAAAGAAAGAGAATAACAAGATTGTTCTCGTTACATTCTTTTTAAAGAGTGTTATAATTATCTCCAAATATAATTTTACACTTTTTTATTACTTAATATATCAATTCCTATGCACAGCACCTATCGGTAGCCTACCCGTCTATCATGAGCAGTACCTTATAACACTTTCTAAAGGTTCCTTTAATATTTACGTTATTGTTAGCAATGTAATGTTTGGCTAGTGATTAGTTGAGTTTGAGTTAGCTACAATTTTAAACGTTGCCGTTTGTACAACTGAACCAAGATAAATGATTTGAAATTTACAATAATAATAATTGTGCAATATTGAATTTCGTTTATAAAAATGTAAATCGTGACTTAATGGCTGTTTAGAGCGTTTTAATGAGTTTGTCATCTGTTTTTATACTATATTGGATTAACCGTATTTTTCATTCCCCCCCTCTCCCTATTAACTCAGGTAATCGAGTATACACAAAAGTGTAAAGTTTTGTAGCCTATGCTACTTGCAACTTGTTTGTATTTTAATGAGCTTTATGTCAACAAAGCGTTCTGCTGTGCTTAAGTCGCGGTGTAGCTGGACGTGTCTGTACCACGCGTTATCTTTTATCTATCACAGCAGTTGAGCCATCCCGTGCGCTCCCTCCCTAGATCTCACGTCTTGCTAATCTTAAATAATAACTTTCTACACGAATCCTAAACTATCCTAAAATCCTATTTCAACTAATTTAATTCAATAATATAACTATTGTCATTAATTATCCACTTTCTATCTGGCGATTTCGTAATGTATTTTGGATTGTCGTCACGTTGAACACTGTTGCAATTAACTTTAGCCCCCCCCCCATTTGAATTTTTTGAGCCCCCCCCAAGAATTTCAATGACGCAGTCTGCGTCACGGCCCCCCCTGTGGGCACCCCTGTGTTAAACTAATTCTATTGAAATCGGGAATAAATGTTATATTTTTAAGTAGACATTTCAGTGTAAATCCAATCAGTCAAATGGAAATTCGCTTAGTCTGCAGGTTTGCTGCGGCGGGGGTATTTTTTAGTGTGGCCTTGCTCTAGCCTGTGAGTCTTCTTTAAATTACTACATGCAAGGTGCATTAAAGCTGACTAACACTTGTTACTTAAAATTGCTGATTCAATTCAATTCGTTTATTAACGGCATAACCCAGTTTACAATATAGACTTAAATTAGTTCAGGCATTTTACAATTGAGAAGATAACAGTTATACATTTAGCAGCAAGCAGGTACATTATAAACAAACTACTTTGACAGTTATTGCAGGATTTACAATCTAGAAATACAAATCAGAGCAACATAGGGAGAGTGATATGAGGGGTGACAAAAAAATGCACAATAATGCCTGTCCTAATAGTATATTTCGTACCTAGGGCCGAAAATGAGGTTTTGCCGGCTCGAGATAGTTTTTTAAGTTCCGAGAACTTAAAACGACCGAGAGCTGCAAAAACATTTCGGTCCGTGGTACAAATGCAATTTTTCACCACACTATACCCTATTACCACTATTCATCACAATAATAATGTACAACAGTCAGCACAACTAAAACTTTAAGGTTGTGTGAAGAAATAACGTGAGGAATCAGCAAAAATAATAATAAATAGTTGTTAGACTGCGGTGACAATAACACAATTCTATTGCAATGCTATGGATACTGATTGTGTATTTAATATGCATTCATGTTTTAACACGTTCGCTGCTGAGCGCTAGATGCCGGGACGGCGCCAGTTGCTGAACTAACGCTCGGCCGCTGCGTGACATTGCCACCGATACACTGAATTACAGTAAAAACAACAGTAGTTATACTGGATGGCAATGTTCTGCAACAAAACTGGCTTTGGATATAGTACTAAGTGATTCTGATAGATAGCAGCACTACCCAGGTTACAGTCGGTAAAGTAGTGTCGCTATCTAGCAGGAAAGAGGTAAAACAAAGCCCTGTTCCAAACGACCCTGGTGGTGATTTGGGAAACTATATTTTTTATTGTCAGAAAAGTACGTCCCCACGAGCTGCAAAGAAATATAGAACGTTTGTGACGTGCTGGCTTATCCATAGCAACGTTAAACAACAATGAACGGTGACGTTCTGGAACGTTCTTAGCTCCTGGCGCCGTGGCCCGGCTGACGTTCCGGAACGTCCGTAGCAGCGAACGTGTTAAGAAAGTAAGCGAGCAGCTGATTTTGTGGCCCTAGGGATGTAAAAACCTGCTCGGTCCCCAAAGATGACAGCTGGAATGGCCAGCAAATCGTAACTTTCAGCCACCAATTAACTAACGTATGTAAAACAGCTAAAAACATCATAGTGTTGTGAAAAACACTTTCCAGCTTACCTCCAGATGACTTTAGGAATGCCTTGGCAAATCTTTAACTTACAAACACAAACCCATTATTTGCAAGCACTGGCATGCAATTTTATCTGATACTACTCACTCATTAAAATACCTAATATAAAACCAGAGTTCAGTATGTATGTGTGTCATGTACTCATACTATGCTTTAAAAAGTGTAAATTGTATTGATATTGCAACCAAAAGCCTCAAGGCCAGAATAAATTATAGTTCACAACACATCTATGTTACAATCAGCAAACCTGTACAGTTTGGCATGTTAGACTGCTGATAGCTTACAAGTCTATGCTTTTATGATCTGTTTCCAAAATAATAAATTTATCTTACCTCTAATTAATCAGGTAAAGTCTCTCTGGTGCTCTTAACTTGCTAGCTACCTGTATTGGGAATATTTTTCAGCATCAACATTGAATCAAATTCATGTTTCACTTCCCTCCCTACCTCCTTCACTTCACTTCACTCCATTATTCATGTTCATGCTGGTTTACTTTACCCATAGACTAACCAACCACAGAGTATGTTTTATTATGACTACAGTGTAAGGGTTTCATTGCTTCAAGCAATAATGGAGAACTTTGACTCCGTTTGGGTGTCATACCTTATAATGGCATAGCTTATAATTGAGAATTTTTTCAACTTGAATAATCGTGAAAATGTGGCATAGCTTAGGCTATAAGGGGAAATGGAATTTTTTTCATAACTTATAATCGTAGAAATGTGGCACAGCTTATAATGCTTTTAATTGAAATGTGGCATAGCTTATACAGAGGGGTTCAACATTTCCGTGTTATTCTTATGAATATTCATATTTAAAAGGAATTAAAGGATTTTTTCAGCTCAACATGTTGGTTCTATGATAGCATTAAAAAGTTACAAGCTCAACCAACAGGGTGCAGCACTATTATTAATTTTTACTTTCTCCTCCTATAATACCATAGTATATGGGAAAAGTATTGCTGTATGTGCGGATGTGTACAGGAGCTACAGACCACACCAGTGATCCGATTTGCATGAAATTTGGTATGTAGGCACTAATAATCCGTGGTATCTCCGAGAAAGTTTGGATGTATGGATGTATGTATGTTTGTGACAAGTAAACGTGAAAAATACTGGTCGGATTAGGCTGAAATTTGGCATGATGATAGCTCACATTCCCGATTAACATATAGGTATATCCTTATCTCAAAAATCCTTTCGGGCTCCGCCCCAGTGGCTCTGCAGTTCCCCATGTTAACCTTATGAGTATCTATATATTAATTTGAAACTGTTTTTCTTTGTGACAGCTATTTTAAGAGAACGGCTGGGCGTAGAAACTCAGTAGAGGTGTCTAAAGAAAGGTCCTGGTCTGTAGATGAGCCATCAAAAGAGAAACATGGAGAATTCCCTCGGGGCTCTGCCCCAGTGGCCTTTAAATTCCCATCCCATGTTATTCTTATGGAGGAAAACGAGGTTTTTGTCACAGCTAATTTGAGAGAACGGCTGGGCGTAGAAACTTGGTAGGGGTGTCTAAAGAAAGGTATTGGTCTGTAGGTGAGCCCTCAAAAGAGAAACGATGTAAATTTCCTTGGGGCTCTGCCCCAGAGGCCTTTAAAGTTCACTCTGCAATATTGTTTACATTCCGACCATATGGATAATTTTACACTACTTTTAATGAACCAGCTGTTAATATTAAAATTGTATTCAAAGGTCTACTGAAACTGTCAAAATTAAATGTTTACATTATTATTTATGATTTTAAATGGATTCTCCACTGCATGGCAAGTTTTTTTTAGTTTCAACAAAATGATGAATTTATGATACGTTTGAAATGTTTTGTTCAAAAATCTATGCTTTATTGCTCTTAGAAAATTTTAAATTATGAAATAAGTGTGACTTATCAATTTCAAAGGAACATATAACTATTCCTTATTGGGTTAGCTTATACATATTGTAAGGTTGGCACTTGCCTTTTTTTCCTACTTTCAATCACCATTTATTTTTAAATTCAAGAAAGAACACCTGAGATTCATTTATTGGTATAACAGTTTTTGATAATCAAATTGAAAATTGTGTCATAGATGAGTACGTTGAGGATGAGAGCTGTGTTCAAGTTTTGGAATAGACTAACTACGGAGTCTATGGTTTTGGTAAAGTAGGTGAACTAATGCCAATTCAGGTATTTAAAAAAAATGTGTACACAGTTTTTACTTTGATGTACACATGCTAGGTTGAACAACGCATCTAAACCTCACTACATACAAAACATTCGGAAACACAACAGTGTCATCACATCTCATCGCATTTGCATAATTTGTTACCAATGCTGGACTAGGCTATGGATTTGGTTCCGCAAATGTTCAAGATTTGTGATAAAACTTCCTACAATTATGGTTCATTCCAATCCACGAAATACATGCACAGCTTTATGTGATCTATATGGTCAAGGCAAAACTACCCCTAAGTTAATGAATTATCAAGTAAGAACAGGATGATTAAATACATGGGTCGATGTGGCAAGAGAAGGATTTAAAATTGCTGAGATCGAAGTAAGAATGTTACTGCTTTCTGGAGAATTAGATATTTTTATCAAAAAAAAAAAAAGATGAAGATTTAGCCTACTTATAAATCCGGATACAATCTGAATGATTTTCCTAAAGCAGATGGAATTAGTGGTTAGTAATAAATATTGACTCTTTCCGTAACATGATAGACTAATTATATGAACTCATTCTCCCATATAGTGAAAGTGGCTTTGGTATGAAACAAACTCATGAACAAACAATTATAAGACTCCTAAAAAACCTTTTGGGCAACCTAAAGCCGATAAAAAGAAAGGTAGGAAATATTGTGTTAAACGAATTCATCAATCACGTTTTTTAGGGAACACAATCGTCATGCTTATTATTGCTTATCCTCCCTTCATATAACTAAGATTTTAATGACTTCACTCTATCCAACGCAGTTAGCTGAATTTACATAAAACCTCAAGATTAACCGTCGATTTCGACGGGGTTCAACTAGTTCATATTTAAAGTGAATTAAAGAATTTAACCAGCTATTTCAACTAGTTGGTTCTATGATATGCAATTAAAAATTTATAAGATACACCAACAAGGTGCAGCACTATTATTTTTTCATTTTTTTATGAAATCAGCTAATTCGAACTAAGCAGCAACAAAACACTGTGATACGCAATGAGAACTGTCAAAGTAGGATTGTTTACAGTATGGTTATGTTTTTAATTTCATGAATAATTTGTGAATTTTTAATAATCTATCTTTCTCTATTGTGTAGGTGAAGTGGTAGAACATTATGGCTATGGTAGATGTATAATACTATAGCATACCGTAAATTTGAGGCAGCTAATTTTCTTAAACCGTGTCTTCTCACATTGCAAAAGGAAAGATCGAGTATAACTGCAATAAGTATTATTCTTATTTGCCACATCCGTACGATGGACGGGTACTCTGCTAGTGTTAAATAAATGTCTGGTTTCCCTCACGCAGCAGACTGTCTGACAGCAAATTGGTAATTTGATGCCAAAACTGAGAACACATTGCTTAGAAATTTAACCTCACAGAATTGCATAAAAATATACAAGTACGGTATACAGTTTTTTTTATGGTTTTTGATGATTTTTTGAGTGGACAGACTCCACTTTAGTTTTTTTTGTCATTGCAGTATTATTTTTAAGCTTAAAGCCAAAATTAATTCCCTGACTTTCCAGAAAGTGTGAATCCTGATAGGACAAACAAGTCATTTTTACTATCAACTGTAAAATAAATTAATGTGTTGTAAATTGCCGGGTTAAAATTCCCATCATAGTTAATTGAAATTCCACTGAAACTTAAAAAAATACCCCCGCCGCAGCAAACCTGCCGTCTAAGCGAATTTCCATTTGGCCGAATTGATTTTCAATTGATCTATTTAAATAACATTAGGTTTAACGAGTACCTAGGTTTGCTGCTACAAGGAAACTAATAAAGTAGTGTGTTTTTAGTAAAATATTGATAGCTTACTATAAAATAAATAAATTGGCCAAGTTTGATCAAAATATATCCATAAACAAGCAAACTACAACATTTTACAATATTCTCCATAAGAATAACATGGGAATTTTAAATTTACCATTTTTTTAGTTTTCTCCGTAACCAATAACCGTACAAAAACACTTTGATATACTGAATTGTTTGTTTTTTTAAGCTCTTCAAGAAGGTTTAGAGAAAAATTGGGAAATTTTGTGTTTTGAGGGTAAAAAGTGAGAAAAACCAATTTTTACCCCATAAAACCCCCCATAAAACCCTGTTCCCATGGACCGATCATGCTGGATCGCGAACTCATTCAAGTTTATCCCGCCTTACACCTTCAAACCAAATTTCATCAAAATCTGATAAAAATTACTCAAGTTATCGTGTTCACGGACACATATATATATATATATATATATATATACATATATAAAAATTTGAACGAATGGTGTTTTTGGCCTCTGGGGACATTAAAATGAAAAAGTAAATCGGTCCCGGGCCTAAGTCTTACCATGAGACCTACGGTAATAGCTACTTCCCTATAGGGAAATTCGCTAAAAAAATACCCCCGCCGCAGCAAACCTGCCGTCTAAGCGAATTTCCATTTGGCCGAATTGATTTTCAATTGATCTATTTAAATAACATTAGGTTTAACGAGTACCTAGGTTTGCTGCTACAAGGAAACTAATAAAGTAGTGTGTTTTTAGTAAAATATTGATAGCTTACTATAAAATAAATAAATTGGCCAAGTTTGATCAAAATATATCCATAAACAAGCAAACTACAACATTTTACAATATTCTCCATAAGAATAACATGGGAATTTTAAATTTACCATTTTTTTAGTTTTCTCCGTAACCAATAACCGTACAAAAACACTTTGATATACTGAATTGTTTGTTTTTTTAAGCTCTTCAAGAAGGTTTAGAGAAAAATTGGGAAATTTTGTGTTTTGAGGGTAAAAAGTGAGAAAAACCAATTTTTACCCCATAAAACCCCCCATAAAACCCTGTTCCCATGGACCGATCATGCTGGATCGCGAACTCATTCAAGTTTATCCCGCCTTACACCTTCAAACCAAATTTCATCAAAATCTGATAAAAATTACTCAAGTTATCGTGTTCACGGACACATATATATATATATATATATATATATACATATATAAAAATTTGAACGAATGGTGTTTTTGGCCTCTGGGGACATTAAAATGAAAAAGTAAATCGGTCCCGGGCCTAAGTCTTACCATGAGACCTACGGTAATAGCTACTTCCCTATAGGGAAATTCGCTAAAAGCCAAAATTAGTTATAACTAAATCATGAGTTTCCTTTATATTGCTTTTAAAATGGAAATAAACAACACCGAGCCATGGCTCGGTCCCCAGGTATTCAGGGTTTAAATAAGAACAAAAATAAAATTTTACTTTTTTTATTGGTTC